TATTTCTTTCAGTAAAAAAAAAAAGGAAAAGTAACAGAAAAGCTACTATTAAGTGTTAAAGGTTGGATTCACATTTAGGCTTTGGTTCCTAATACTCAAGTCATTTAATTCACCTACTCTGAATTATTTAAAATACGTGAGGTAAGTCAAAAGGTTGTATAATTGAAAATCAAAATACAAGATTTTTTTTTCTTTTTCTTACATTCCGCCTTTAAGTCGAACACTTCTTGTCTTTATGTGGGACATCTTTTGTCTTAGGTCACATGTTCTCTGCCCTTTCTTGGGACACGTTCTTTTTAACTGTTCAGTTATGGAAAACAAACGAACAAACGAAGATTCTGCTCCACGGAGAAGCAGAATCTTCTCAAATATTTTCATCCAAAAGACAAATTCTCTGGCAAATGTTCCAGCCTTTTTCTCTCGGTTTTTAAATATCTCGCCCTGGATTGGATTTGAATCCTGTTTGCCTTTCATCAAACTCAAAATTAATCTTTATCCCAAATGTTCTTAGATTTCTTTGGTTTAATTGCTCTCCAAAATTTATAATTTTTAAGGAATTTGAACTTATTTCCACCGTCACTCACCTGCAGTACATGCTCTACGTATATAACTGTCCTATAACTGTTACAGAAACTTGGAATTCTGTCACAGCAGTGAATAAAATGATCATATCATTATTACCCGCAGTGAGGAATAATGTGACGATAACGATCTCACTTTTCAAAGTATTTCACGGATTCACGGAGAAACTCTGCTAACACTTACTTACTTTTCCTGTCGGGGAGAAAATCTCTCCATCTTTTAGTTTCAGATGAGCAGCAATTTGAGGTAAAAATGTTTCCTTAAAAAAACAAATCACGATTATTTATCCCATATTGGGATACCTTGCTGCCTCTTTCAATGGGGTGAATTCTAAAAAAATATATATATATTTTCTCTGTTAAACCATTTGACAACTGAGTCATGAGCTGTTTCGATATTTCCGGCAAAGTTTGGTGCACAAACAGTTTTCTGGTCACATACGAAGGACGCAGCAGGAGCATGACTGAGTCAGATGGTTCCACCACAGCATGAGACCACAAAGACTGTCACACTTCTGACCGACTGAGTGAGACCACAGCGCCACATGTTGGCCAACCGCTGAGTCTTTGCCTGTTGCTTAGACACTCAAACCTGTGTAACTTAATGTATCCATATGACCAGAGACGAACAGGTGCTTTGAGTCTGAGGAGAGGGCGGCAGCTCTGCGTTTGAAATAACTCTTCAGTGGTGAAATCAGGTGGAAAAATCACTGGAACTACAGATCTATAAGAGGCAAAAGTGCCCAGACTGGCTGACAGCTTAAACTCTACAGCAGGCGCATTACATTAATACAATATCATGCTATATATTTGTATGTATGCATGTTATATGTATGTCTATATATTTCAACAGTATATATCTGTATATCAGTATATAACTTTACTTGTACATACATTTACAGTATTCTGTACAACTTTACTTGTACATACATTTACAGTATCTCTCTCTCTCTTTCTCTCTTTCTTCCTATATATGAAAGGATGGATCGATGGATGGATTAATAGATAGATAGATTTGTGTGTATATATTTATATATGTGCATTTAAGATAGATAGATTTATGTGTATATATTTATATATGTGCATTTAAACATATTTATTACCTTATGCAAAAACATTTCCATAACCTTTTTGGTTTTTTAAATGCTTACTATAAGAAACATCAATCTTTGGGTTTAGATAGATTGAATGGTTTATTTGATAAATGGATGGTTGGATGGATGGATGTTGGTTGGATGGATGGATGGATGGATGTCATGTGATTATAAGTTTGTCCACATTCGTTCTCCAGTCACCTGAGTGAAGTGTGAATTTCACTGCTGCTCTGAGGTTCCCTCTCAGTTTTGCTGACACTTCCACAACGCACCCTTCCTTCTCTCCTCCCTCCTCCCTCCTCCTCCCTCCTCCCTTCCCCTGTCCGTGCGTACTCCTGTTCTATACACAACCATATGTCACCATGGTAACCGGAGTAGAGCAGGAAAAGAAAGACTGGGGGTGGTGATGGTGGTGATGGCTGCGGTGGAAGAGGTTGTGGGCGAATGAATGATAATGAGAGCAGTGTTTCTGGTCTTTCATTGGTTAACTGTTTTTGTTTGTTTTTTTAAATTAAGGTTTGAGACATTCTTAATAACCGCACCGTTACTGTAGGGTTTAAAGATTGACGTCATCGGCTACATCAGGGGGAGCGCCTCGTTTGAAACGCTACGACCGGAGCTCCATCGTGTTTCCTTCACGCTGTTCTGTGACGCCTGTATGTTACTATACTGAGTTTTCATGTGTTACTGTGGTGACAGCTGACATCAGTCATATGTGGCACCAGATGGACGCTGGGTCGTCATCACTTCTCACTGCGGCGATAACGATTTGGCTATGACACATCCTGTGCTCCAATCATCAGGGAGTCTGAGACGTAATAACTCTGAAGTTGATATCCTTAATAATCCTTTTTTAAGATTCACTTGCGGAACCATATTTCAAATTATAACATTTATTGGAAAATATTGTCCACTCAGACGAACATCATTAAAACTTAGTGCCTCTATTTAATGGCCAAAAGGAGACAGATAAAACCGGTGACGTCATGCAGGGCAAAGGGAGACAGATAAAACCGGTGACGTCATGAACTGAATACCTGCGTCTCAGATTCAGGATTTAGATTCTAAATACTGTCTAAACTTCGTCGGATCTGCACGTCTGAGATCTTCCTGTTCCTGCTCAGTTACACAGTAAAACAGCATCTTTAAACCTGCCACCTCCGGCTCCAACCTCCTACAGTCATTCAGATCACCGTTCTCATCGTAGCAGTTCTCACTATAGCACAGTGTCTTTGGATGTTTGACTCCAGCTGGTTTAAAATAACCTCTCTAGTAAGTTCTGACACACTTCTGCCTACGGTTAAACTACTCCTGTATCTTTAGGATCTTAAACCCTTGTGGTGAATAGTGTGAACTGCATAAAGAAATACATACAGTAATTTTTACACTTTTAAACTAGGATCTACTCCTATTTATTTATATATATATTCTTTACTAATGGTCAGTGAAAATGTTGTTCGGGTCTATTCTATTGGTCGTGTTTCCCCGTTTCCTCCTGCTGCTGTAGAACAATACGCTGTGACACACTTGTGTACTTGTGACACCCCCACCTCCTTCACACTGAGTTCATCAAAAGAGCAGTGTCATAATCACTTAGCCCTTTTTTTCCCTCACCTTTGTCGGAGTAAAATGCACATTGCACATTAATGCAGGACGTTGAAAAATTCAAGAACACCCAGGCCTGTCAGGAGAGTACATCACGTTATGGTTTTTCTTTTTTACATGCTTTTCAATGTGGAAAAGGTCACAGAGCAGAGATTCACACTTTCTCCTCCCTTTGATGAAACCCTTCCCCTCCTCGACGTCTCAGTCTCTTCACGTTTCCCTCCGTGGTTCTCCTGAATATTTGACTAAAATCCACTTGTCTAATCCCTGGTGCTGTGTGCTAGATTCAGAGGTGTTGGTTTTTGTTTGTTCCTGGTGGGAACGTCAATCTAAGGTCAGGTCTATTCCTTATTTTGATTGTGACTAAAGCCTGTTGTGCTGTGGAGAAGTTCTGTGAACTACGTTATGACAGGGTCTGTGTGTGTGTGTGAGTGTGTGGTGTGTGTATGTGTGCGTGGGTATGCGTGGGTGGGTGGGTGTGGGATGACGTGTGGCGTGTGTGTGTGTGAACTGTAGTGTAAACCCCATCACAAGTAGCAATGTGTCATCATGCAGCTGATCTGATTCTAGGTCAGTGACTGTGCTCCAAAAGAAAACCTCTTTGTTGCCCCCTTGTGGACACAAATAAGTATAAAACAGAAACAAACCGAATGGTGTTGACGTCACTCAGTGGTCCGTGGACGAACGCTATATCAGAACATAACTCTCTCTCTCTCTCTCTCTCTCTCTCTCTCTCACTGTCTGTCATTTAAATGTATATTTTTTTCTCTGCATTAATTGTTTCTATAATAGTGAAAATGAAAGTGAAATATACTGTACATAGAGTATTTGCACAATCCCTCATCAATTCCTTTATCAATAACATGGGCCAAAACCTGTTGATCATTTTTTTCACCATCCAAGTCCATGATGATCTTTATTCCGACAGGCCTCAGTACATGTGGATTCACTGCACCAAGATGGACTACGTTAACTCTTTATTCCGGCTCTAATTCCGTACCATTGTCTAACACCGTAGTAAAAGGTTATCACCCTTGGAATTTCATGGCACGTCGTATTAAACATTTACACCTTTGTTTCACCTTCAGAAGGTCAAGGTGATAAATGGTTCTCATCCCGTGGCTCACAATCATCGACCATGTCTTGTCAACAACTCTATATAAAAATGATGGACACCACCTTTAAATATAAATATAATAAATACATGTTGTTTTTTCTAATGAAAACCAAAAGAAAGGGTGTATTATTATTGAAAGGTCAAATGTTCTACGTCAGAGAGTCTGGAGACACAGTGCAGAGAATTTGTCCTTCAAGAAACGCTGC